AATATAATTAAAAAAAATTATATTGGTTTAAAATATAATAGTCTATTATAATATGAACTTACATACCTTGGCTTTTCGTTTATTAGATTCTATTGTAATATATAGCACTATGAATTTCTTTGAACTTAGATTTTTGCACTCGGTAATGAATGCATCATAATCACATTCATCATCTAATGCCATCGCATGACCTCGTCCATTTACTTTATAAGAAATTTCTATATTATTTTTATCAATTTTGTTATTATGATATTTACGAATATATTTCATAAGATCATTATAAAATGTATCAAATCCATTTAAATGAAATTTAAACTATTTTGCGGGCGTTGATGTAGAACTTTCAACATTAATAATAATCTTTGCTTGTAGTTCCAAATGCAGATCTGAACTATTATCTAAATGCAAATCTGAACTATTATCTAAATGCAAATTCGAACTATTATCTAAATGCAAATCCGAACTATTATCTAAATGCAGATCCGAACTGTTATCTGATAATATGTAGTTAGTTGAAAAATCCAAATTATTAAAAAAATCCAAGTCACTATTTGATAAACTAGAGTTTGTTAAAGAATCAGAATCTTCAACAATGATATAGTTAGCACTGGTTGGAAAAGGGGTTTGTATCAGTACGGTTGGAGAGGGGTTTGTATTGGCACCGGTTGAAGAGAGGTTTGTATCAGTACCAGTTAGAGAGAGGTTTGTATCAGTACCAGTTGAAAAAGAGGTTTGTATCAGAACGGTTGGAGAGGGGTTTGTATTAGCACCGGTTGGAGAGAGTTTGTATCAGCACCGGTTGGAGAGGAGTTTGTATTTTTTAAACTTTTTTTACAAAAACTAAGTTTAAAGTTTTTATTAAAATCACAATTATAACCAAATGATTATCATGATTTTTAAGAAATAATATTTGATTCGGATGTGATTTGTTAGGATCATAAACTCGACTATAAACTTGATCTTTATTACTACGAGAAGGTTTTTGTGTTGTATTACATTTATATAGATCTTTAGCTAGATCTGTAAAGCAAAAAAGACATTTTTGATATGAAAAACATGTTCCAATTTTGTAGCAAGATGACATTTTACTCACACATATAGTAAGTAATTATGCTACATAACAGTTTAAATACCTTTTACGTTCATTGTTTCAAATATTATATATATATGCACGTAACATATAAAGATGACCAATGCTTAATAGAAAATAAACAAAAGTCTATATATTAGTATCTTCACTTT